CCCCCCCCCCCGCAGGCCCCCTCGCCGTCTTTAGCTAACACACCTGGGCATTGTCTTCCCCATGGATGCGACTGAGCCGGCCCTGGGCGAACTGGCCACTTGCACACACGGCTCCCCGCCGTGCACTGACAAGGGTGGGGCTGAGGTGTCCATTCTGTGAGCGTGACCAAGATACGGCCACGGTTTCTAGACCTGTTGCGGAGGGGATCTAGGGATGGGAAGGGAGGGAAGCGCAAGTAAAAAGGGCTAAGATGTCAAATATCCACGTGTCAAGGCCCCACGATTAATGTATTTATTTTGTGTTGCAACCATGTACTAAAAAAAAACTAAAAACTTTAAAAATCGATTACAGTAAAAGACACAATGCCACAAACCTCCCTCTGAAATATTTCTTGCTTCGAACACACTTTTCCCACTGTCCTTGCCGCTCCCTGCAGCCGCTCTGGAAGTCCTCTTTGGTGAGTGTCTCTGATGTGCTGTCCTGGCTGCCTTGATGTCCTGAATCAATCCCAAACATTTTCCCTTCGCGGTCATTTTGACTTTGGGGAAGAGCCACAACTGCACGGTACCAGGTCCAGTGAATGAGGTGCTGAGGACACACCACACTCAGGTTTTTAGCGTGGCTGCCCTCCCACTGGATGGCAGTTGGCGGCAACTGAGCATTTCTTAATGTATCCCTTGAGTATTTCTGATCAGTTCTCATGAAAGAGGACTCCCAGAAGTGCATGGGACAAATGTGTTCAAAGAGAGCAACAGTGCTTTGAGGGAGATTAATAGCAATGTATTTTTTTATTATAATATTTTTTTAAAAAACAAATATTCGCCATATATTTCGATCATCTGTCCCGCAGGTGGGAAGACCCACTTACCTGGGGCCACGTGGCTCACAGGTTGTTGAATCCCACTGCCTCCCTGCCATGCGGAAGTGCCCTGAGCAGGGCTGAGCGAGGGATTTGAAGTTGTCACTGTTATCATTGTTCCTGGCTGTCCCTGATGAACTGAGGGCCGGTGGTGCCCGGGGCCAGCCGTCTCTCAGGGAAGCCGGGCCGTGGCTGGGATGTAGTTCTCTAGGGAAGAGAAAGGGTGCAGGGCCCAGGCACCACGCTGTCCTCCCAACCTGGGGCTCCTGGCAGCAGATGCCTGTGGGCAGGCCAGTCTTGAGGCTGTCCAGGCAGGGGACACCCTGCCGGCAAATGTCGGGGCACCGCCAGGGGCTGAGATTTCCAGCAGGCCGAGCCCCAGCTCACTCACTAAATGCTCCAGGGTGGACTTGTTTTCCTATCAGAAGAAACAAATGCACATCACAACAATGAAAAGGATGCAGCTAGATCGGAGGGATAACTTTAATATAGCTCAGTGGGTAACTGTGGCTGACACCAATTCATTTTATATAAAAATAGCTAGAGGAGAGGACTGTGAATGTCCTCAGCACAAAGAAATGGCCAGACCCTGAGCTGAGGGAAGTGCTGTGAACCCTGGGGTGACCGTTCCCCATGGGGTACCTGTGCCTCGATGCCATGCTGCACCTACAGATCCGTGCGGCTACTCTGCGTCCATTAAAATGGGAGGGTGTGGGATGGGGTGTGGCTCAGCAGGGAGCGCCACCTAGCGGGTGCGGGGCCCTGGATTTCATCCTGGCGCTGCAAAAATAAAGACATACACACAGTAAATAAATCTGAAAGTAACACAGACACAAGAGTGAATGCAGGTTGAATTAGATCTGTCTTTATACCATTGAAAACCAATAATAGGCCATTTGAAATGCTTCTTTGATAGAGGAACGGGCCCACAAAGGTGAGGGTGCTCAGGGCCCTGGAAACCTGTAATTTCACCTTGAAGGGGGCTGCAGATTTTCTTGGACCCTTAGGTCTGAGCAAGACTAATTCCAGATGGGGAGCTACTCGGCTGCCAGCACCTAACTCTGCCTGACTTGTGATTGAAGAAGCGAGGTGCTAGACTCTGCGAGCCACCCGGTCCCCAGTGACCAGACTCTTAGTCCCAGGAGGACTTTGGGCACAGACTGGGAAGATCTCCATTTTTCCTCACCTCCTCCCAAATGTGAGGCTGGTCTGCTTAGGAAAACAAGTGAGCCATCTGCAAAGTTCCCTGCACAGCACACTGACTGGGTTTTCACTAAGGACCCCCGGCACGTAGAGAGACCTGTCCATTTCTGGGAAATGGTCAGCCATGTGGAGAAGTCAGCAATGAGAGAAGGAGATGTTGTGATAAAATAAAAATTACCAAGGATAAGGTAATTCTTGGGAATCTGAGTTTCAGGACCGTTTAGGGTGTAGGTGGGACCCCTGCTGTCCTACCTACTGGAGGCTGAGTTGGGAGGATCACAAGTTCAAGGGCAGCCTGGACAACTCACAAAATGCTGACATAATATTTTTAAGTGGGGTGCGGTTCAGACAGCAGGCTCCTCCGTGGCCTGGCAGATGACACCACCATTGTACTCAGCACTGGGCCTTGGGGATTTGGAGGCTCCAGGCCCGCGGATCCCAGTGCCCTGCAGGTGCCCAGTGTCAGGAGCTGGCTTGTGCGACAGGCAGAGAGCTGCTCCCCTCAGCTGTGACCAGCCTAGGAGTGGGGAAGCATATGGCTTCCAGGATGGCACATCTGTGGGACCACATCTGGCCTGTGGAGCCTTCTATGAAATATACGAGCTGTGTGACCCACGGAGTCTGCCTTTCACTGGCCACCAGGGAGCTTGGGTCTGAGTTCTGCGTTCAACTGCAGACCCTTCCCCAGGAGAGGTGGCCTTCCCTTCCCACCTCACACTTAATTCCTTGGCCTTTTCAGTATTAAAAAAAAAAAACCCATATAAATGTAAGGGGTATGGGGAACAAATGAGAACCAAGCCCTGTCATGTAAAGGTACAAGATCCCAATGATGAATGTAACTGTACTGTATACCTAAAATGTACCATAAACTCAATGAGGGGAAAAAAAAAGACATATAAATGTAGATGCACATCAGGAAAAGAAAGACTTGTATAAACACTTTAACACTAAATTTTTTGAGACATCCTGAGTCATACACCTTACCTCTGGCCTCTAGATGATAGGGGCTGCTCACGGTGGTGGCTGTGAGCTTTCAGACTTGTTCGTTCGGCGAACTGCTGCTTGGGCGGCCTTGGTCACTGAGACTGCTTCACAAGTCTTTTCAGTTTGTTCTCAGAGGGCTGCAGTGTGGTTGGGGGGATTCTCTGCGATACACAGCATCCTCTAGGGTCCCCCCATACAAAAGTAACACCATCTGCTCAAAAAATACCACGCTGTTTTTCTTGCCCTAAAGTGTGTATATATTCTTTGGGTGAACTCTGAGTTTGTTCATTCATTGTGACATAACAGAGACGTTAATAACATTCTCTTATGAAAATTAACTATGTTTTCCAAAACTAGAAGAAAATTAGTGTGGGGCACGGTTTTACACTTTCTCAAATTGCTTTAATGTCTAGCTTGATAGAAAGAAAGAGGAATTCTCATAGAGTCGATGAGAGCAGTATGCTCATCTTAATGAGAACAGTGACCTTCATTCTTCCTGGATTCTGTTCCTCCAGCAGTCTTCCCCTTATCCACACTTGTGCCTTCCAGTCTCCAAAAATGTGAAATAAAAAATTCCAGAAGTGAGTAATTCCCAAGTTGTGAGCCGTATGCTGCTCCGAGTAGCAGGATGAATCTCACGCGATCCCAACCCTTCCTGCCTGGGACAGGATTTAGCTTCAGCCCAGGGGCCTCACTCAAGTGTCACTGAGCGCACTTGGCCGTCAGGTGAGCTTTCCAGGTGTCGTGGTGCTGGATTCGAGCAGCCTACAGCTGCTGCGTCAGTGTCCTCACTGTTATCATGTCACAGTGACCTGTGTTTTGTGGTGATGGTGCCTCTTGCTATAAATCGCCACAGACTAATTTAGGATGGGCTTTCTGGGGCCACAATTCCATGTGCCACCCTGCTGCCTTAACCTGTGCTGAAAGAACCGCCCCCGCCCCAGGATGTCCTGTCCATCTTCCTGCTCTGGCAGCCTGGTTCTCTTTCCCCCATGCTGTAGAGCAAGTACTTTTGCTGATTTTTGTGTCTGAAAATGCAGAGGAGCCAAGTCAGAGAAATGAGTATTTACAGTGCTATTAAAGATTCTTTTGATTGCATGTGAAAAGAACCTAATCACATTAGGTGAAGGAGAGGAACAGTGGTGGTAGAACTCTGTTGGTTCAGTAATTGAAAGTATAGAGTGGTTGGGCTTCAGGCATAGCTGCATCCAGGAGATGATATCAGCAGGGAGGTATCAGTATCTCTGCATTTTGCTCTCTTCAGTGTGGGCATCATTGTTGGTGATGCTTTGTCCATATGGAGAGAAGGGTGGTCACAAGGTCTCCTGGCTCTGGGAAGATTGCAGAACTTCTTTCTAATGACTCTGCTCAGAGTTTTCTCCAGGGAAGATTATGATTAGACCCGCTCAGTTCATAAACTCATCCCCAAACCAATCACCATGTCAGAGGATGAAATAGTTTGATGACCCAGGTCCGGTGGCCTGCATTGGGGGAGGAGTGGGAACAGGCATTGGCTGCCCCGAGGACAAGAATCGGGGGACACCAGAGTCGGTGGCAGCGCCAGAGTCCTCTGAAGCCCAGGTATGGTGAGGGTCTTCATTTGGGATCCCTCAAAGGAAACCCTAAGGTGAGGATTTGGGTACGAGTTGCTTTCTTGTGGGGTGGTCCTGGAAATATGGTGGGAGAGCTGAGCAGCGGGACAGGACAGGAAGGAAACCAGGAGAGGAGGTGGGATGCGTCGGTAAGGGCCATGGGTGATGCGCCCCCTGCTGGGGCTGTGCAGTGCACACCTGGAACTGCTCCTCCGGCCTCAGCAGTGGTGGGGTTTGCCGCCCCCGCCGGTTGCTTGGTTCACTCCTGAGACACACTCTCCCCGTGATCTCCACCCTCTGCCACCTGAGAGAACAGTGTTTAAGGGGGAAAAAAAAGGCCACCGATGTGCACAGGAATCACCTAGTCACACAGGTGGCCTCTGGCCTTGGCAAAGGGCCACAGGGCACTGGGGGCTGCACAGAGAGTCTCCACAGACGAGGGGGGTACTGTGACAACAGCTGGGGTCCCGGGCACCTCTGCTGCTAACCCCAAGCGCTGGTGTCCAGCATCACACTGGGATTTGGATGCAGGTGCGATCGATGGAACTGCGGGCCACGTGGCTGATCTCAGTCTCCACCCGGTTCCCTCCCCGAGAGTCCCCGCCCCCGCCCTGAGCCTGAATCACCTCATCTCCGTAGCACGCAGACGTGTTCCCAGGAACAGACACAGCCGTCACTCAGGAACCTGGGCACCCTTAGGGTTTCCCTCCCAGGAGCCAGGAAGGCCAGTGAAGCTCTTCTTATGCCTCGGGGTCGGCTGGGTGGCTGAGCTCTGGTCTGCTCCCATCTGTTTTGTCTGGGTGGACTGGAGCCATGGATAACACTGGGGGTCAGGAGAGGGTTGAGACAGTCAGGTTTTTTGGCCACATGAATTATGAAAAAATTGCTACATTTCAGAAATTCTGGGAATTGGAAATTGTACGCAAGAAATTATAGAATCGGGCCGGGGATTTATCTCAGTGATTCTGCCGCCTGCCTCACAAGCACAAGGTCCCAAGTTCAATCCCCGGTACCAAAAAAAAAGGAAAAAAGAAATTATAAAATCACATTTATTGAGCACTTACTATGTGCTGGGCCTATGGCCTCAGTATAACCCTAGGATGGCAGTCTCTAGTGTTACTGCCATTTTATAGATGAGGAAACAAGCACAGAGCTAGTAAGGTGGCAATTCTGCCTTCAGAGTTCTTGTGCTTTACTAGGGACAGACCCATGCTGAGAATCCAGCGTCCTGTCCACATGGTCCCTTCTGGTCACCAGGCTTTGGCGCCTGGGGACACACGTGGGATGCAGAGTGGTTTGTCATCCTGACAACCTCACTTCCAAAGCCACGGTCCATTGGGTGGGACAGATGAGCCCCGCTGCCTGGGGCATCAGCCGGCAGCGTGCAGACTGCGGCGATCTTGTGGGCAGGCATCTGATCAGCCGCTCATTGCTGCCACAGAGAAATATTCATGGCATTCAAGGAGCCAAAATCTGGGTTTTTTATGGGGAAAAAAACTCCTGGCTTTTAATTCACAATGTTTTTAAAAACAACTTTATTAAGGTCTAATTTACATATCCTAATCTTTGCCCATTTGAAGTGTAATTCAATGATACTGAGGAAGCTGTGGACAATCTAATTTTAAAACATTTCATTACCCCCCCAAAATAAACCTCATACCCACGAGCAGTTACTCCCTATTTTCCATCCACCCTCCCAGCCCCAGACAACCACTAACAGACTTCCTATCACCTTAGGTTGGTCTGCTCTGGGCATTTTGTCTAAATGGGCTCACATAGTCTGCGGTTTGTTATGACTCGCTTCTTTCACCGTAATGTTTTCAAGATTCACACGTGTTGTAGCTCCGGTCAGAATTTCCTTCCTCTTTATGGCTGAATAGTACTCCACTGTGTGGACTCATCAGTTAATATGCACTTGGGACATTTCTCCTTCCGACTGTGGTGACTGATGCTGTCGCAGATATCTGTTGTCACTTGGGCAGTAACCAGCGAGAAATGCTGGGTCCCATGGTAACTCCATGTTTAACTTTTAAAATTCAAGTTGTTTTTAAACCATCCCGCCACCAACCAAACTCATCTGGTCTTCAGCTATCTGTCCTGCCTCAGCCAAGGGAAATCCAGTCCGTGGCTTTTCCTCCTGAAGGTGAGAAGACTGGCTCTTCCTTTGGCCCTCAGAGGCCCTGGCATAATTTCCCCAATAAATGAGGGGCTTTTGAAGATAGAAACCAGGAAGGAAAGAATTTTGCATCCCCCGTAGTCCCCGGAGACAAGGAAATCCAGATTTCCTTTGTTAAACAAGGAAAAAGAAGAGGGTAAGTGCCAGGCAAAACCGTAAATAAAAACCGTGAACTATTGTGCAGCCACATCCGCTTGCTGCCAATTGACCCAAGGTTTAATTTATCAAAAGCACAACGCACTCTCTGTGTGGCAGGAAGGCTCCAGGCCCCATAGAGACTTAAAATATGTAGAAGCCTGTGTTCACTCAGCCCGATTTGACCATTTTAAAGGTTTGTTAGGAAATCTGTTCTTGTCATTTCTAGCTGCTATTTATCACATGTTCCATTTGTAGAATAAAATCCAAGCTCTTTGCCAGGACCGAAAGATGTGGCCTCGGCCTTCCTTGTTAGCGCTCTCTCCAGCCAGCTGTGTCCCCCACCCCTGGGCGTGGCCCTGCAGAGCATGGGCTGCCAGGCTTCTTCCCTTCTGCACCCCAAGCACGGGGCCCTCGACATTCAGCCCGCTCAGATGCCACCTTCTTGGGAGGCCTCTCCACAGTCCCTTCCATTCCCTCCAGCTTTGTGTTTGTGTTTGTGGTGCTAGTGATCAAACCCAGGGCCTCGCACATACAAAGCGAGCGCTCTACCACTGATCTGCAGCCCCAGCCGTTTATTTCACATGTTTTTTATTTTTGTAAAGTTTCACTTCTTTGCCTAGGTTGGCCCTCAAATGTTCCGTACTCCGGTCTCGGCCCTCCAAGTAGCTGGAATTAACAGATGGAGAGCCTGTGCGCCTTAATCCATTTTCTTAATAGCCTTACCCATTTTTGAGCGGCACTTAAAATGTGGTAGGCACTTGGGCCAGGGATGTAGCTCAGTGGTGCTGCCACCTGCCTTGCAAGTGCAACGTCCTGAGTTCGATCCCTGGCACTAATAAATAAATAAATAAATAATGTGGTAGGCGCTCAACCCGTATTTGTTGAGCAGATAAAAGAACTCACAAAGCCATGTGTCACTTAAAAATGGCCATTTCTGAGAGCTGAGCTGTCAGGCAGTTTCGTCACTGTGTGAATGTCACACAGCACACGCTGACACATGCCTAGGTAGTGGAGGACAGTCAGTCCCTCCACTTCACCTTCGCACTAGCTATTTCCCAAGCCCCTCCTTTTTTTTTTCCTTATTATTGTTGAGACAGGGTCTCAAAAAGCCACCAAGTTGCCTAGGCTGACCTTGAGCCTGAGCTGTCTCCTGTCTCAGCCTCCCACTGGGCTGAAATGTCAAGCAGCATCGCCACGACCAGTTTCAGCGTGGCCTCGATGCCATCGAGGGACACAGAGAACACAGGACGGATGAGGACTTGGCTGGTGCTGGACCTGAAGACTTACGGACCAGAGGCCAAGGCTGGGAGGTGTACAGGACCCTGGTG